GCATAGTTATCTTAGCTGGGTCTATGTGGTTTTCTTTAGCCAACGCTTAGAGAACTGCCCTCCGTGGACATTATCCTTGAAATCATGGTGCATGTAAGTAAACAGGGACTGGCAATATTTTTTCTGCAGAGATGATGGGTGATCATATTACAAGACAACATGGAATTAGCCAGTCATTAGTAAACCTCTCTCCACCCTCAGTAAGGTGCTAATCTAGTGTCTGTTGTAGAGGGCATTTCTCTCAGCTAGCTGGACTAAAAGCCGCATAAAGGCTGCTGCACTAATATTGGCAACATGGCTGACCATAAGCAAACATATGCAAGCATCATAAGCCTTTTAGCAGCGGCACTTTGCACTACATGCTCAAAGACATTGAATGTGTGCTGTCGAATGATGGTGCTATTTCTGTGCTAGCTTCAAGCTTTTTTTTTTGGTTTGTTGTAGCAGTTAAAGCTCTGGGCTTGTAATCAGAAGGTTGCTAGTTCGATTCCCACAATAACCCCATTAGCTATAATCGTTTAAAGGGAAAGTTCATCTAAAAATTACAGTTCTGTAATATTTTACTCTTCCTCATGTTGTTCCAAACCTGTGTGACTTTCTTGCTTCCATGGAACGCAAACCAAGAAGTGTGCACTCTTTTCCATGTAACAAAAAGTGAATGGGATCTCAGGGATATGGGTTTGGAAAAATATGGGATTTACTTTGGATTAAAGCAGGGCTACCCAAACTCAGTTCTGGAGGGCCGGTGTCCTGCAGAGTTTAGCTCCAACTTGCCTCAACACACCTGCCTTTAAGTTTCTAGTATGCCTAGTAAGAGCTTGATTAGCTGGTTCAGATGTGTTTAATTGGGGTTGGAGCTAAACTCTCCAGGACACCGGCCCTTCAGGACCGAGTTTGGACAGCCCTGGATTAAAGCATTTGTTTAAATGACTACTTCCTTATTTTGGTGCGCTACAGTATGTATTCAATTGGAGGAGTGTCGACGCGTATCTACAAGGAACGCCTGCAGGCAGAAGGGATGGGAACTAATGACAATGCGGTCAAATTCCTGAATCAGGACTACGAGGAGCTGAAGAGAGAATGTTTGGAGAGTGGCAGGCTGTTTGAAGACCCTTGCTTTCTCGCCGTGCCTCAGTCACTGGGCTTCAAGGAGCTTGCACCACACTCCTCCAAAACACGCGGTGTGCAGTGGATAAGGCCCACTGTGAGTGTTGGAGAGCACGGCCTATACGAACAGCACGCTAGTTACTACATACAACTGCATAGTCATTATTTTTAGCATATTTTAATACTTGAGAGGGAGTGGGAGGACAACAATTAAGGAATTACACAAGCTAGACTCGAACTCTAATTTCCCACATTAGAACTAAGGTGTAACAATGGGCTCTAACTACTAAGACAAGTCTCATGTTTTTATATTTAGCACAACTTGACACCTTAATTGATTGGGATAGAAAATAAACTATAGGAAATCAAATAAGAACAAGATTGAGAAAATACATGAGCTAGATTCAAACTCTCATTTCCCATGTGAGAACCAAGGTGTAACTTCTGGTGTTAATTACTGAGACAAGGTTCTTACTTTCATTTATTTTTACAGTTATCAGTTGTACTGATTGTTAGAGGGAAAGGCCATGAATTTAAGTGGGAGGATCAAGATTTAGAAATTACATGAGGTAGACTCTAATTTCCCACATGCAAGCCAAGGCAAAACTATTAAAACACGGTTCCAACAGTGTAGGCAACATTTGAAAGTCAGAGTTAGGGATAGTTTAGCTCTTAAAGAGTTAAATGACCTCCTCCTTTAAAAAAATAAATAAATCAGTTTTAGCAAAGTTTAGTTTTGTTTAGCTGAAACATTGAATTCGTTATTTAAATTGTATAAGTAATATAATTTCATCGGACTGTGTATCCTTCTCGAAGCTCAAACAATATTTTCATAGCTTAACTGATAGTATCCAACCTGTACAATATACCTGTATGTACTTAGACTAGTTTCATTTGACAGTGAAAATGTCTCACAGATATAAGTATGTTTAAAGTTGTGAAATCATGCATGCAGGGTGTGTTGTTATAGACTGACAGGGACAGTAGCACACTTTGGTTGAGGTGTTGCTCTTATGCGTTGTTTGCTTGCGTAATGTTTGCAGGAGCTGTCAAACAATCCTCAGTTTATAGTGGGCGGAGCCACACGTACAGATATTTGCCAGGGGGCCCTTGGTGAGTATGTACTGTACTGTATTAGCCTGGATGTGTGCATTTGTGCATGCTTGCACACGTTAGCCCACCGAATATCAGGAGCTTTATTTGTGCTTCACTGCAGTTTGGGTGATCCTGCAGCTTAAATCTAAGCAAAACAAAGTTTGTCTGCGACCTTCACGCATTCTGTCATCGCTGTCAAAACGTTGCAACGTAAATGAAGAAACCTCATATTTTCTTCTGAACGTACCAGTTCTTATGTGCCTCTGTAGTTAAAAATAACTTGTTTAACATCATATATTTGCAGAAATATAGCAATATTGACATACGTGCTGTGGTATTAGCATGATTAGCTCATTAGCATGGATGTCACCATAATGTAATCAATATAGATAGACGGACAGATACATTTACAGATAGAAATATATAGGCAGAAATACGGGAGGATAAATGGATGGACGAATGAATGGAATGATGGATGTACTAATATACAGACAATTGGATGGATGGATGGACTGATTGACAATTGGATAGATGTATAGATAGAGGTAGATAGTGAGATGGATGGTTGGACTAATAGACAGTTGGATAATGGATGGATGGACTAATAGACAATTAGATGGATGGATGGACAGATGGATGAATGAAGGGACGGACAGATGATAGGTAGATGGATGGACTGATAGACAGACCTCTGTATAGATATACAGATAGAGGTAAATAGATAGATAGATCTTGTGTATATCACTGGAGCACTGTATCAACCAATCAGAAGCCAGAATTGGAACTACCCGTTTTATTTTACTGCATATATTATATATTTTGGGTTTTTATGAATGAGCTAATGGCAAATCCCATTAAGTCAATGGGATTGACACCTCTATGATCAAAATTTGTAGTGTTTTCTGACTCTTTTGAGAGAAGATGTGTGTTAGGGGGCAGATGAGTGTATATGTGTTTCCTGGCTGGTGGGGAGTGGTTGAACACAATGCCTGAGTGGTGAGTCATACAGTCATAAATGTAGCATTAGAGAACTCTGGGATTGGCTCATGGCATGTTTGTGTGTGTGTGAGGGTGTGCACTCACCAGTGCCAAACTAAGTGTGTGTTTGCACAGCAAACACTGGGTGGAGGAGGATGGCGGAGCTTATCACAGATATGCATTTTACCTCTCATTGAGCACACCGAAAGCCTCATGACGTGGTTCAAGCCTCAACAGCCAAAATGGGTTTGGCTTTATCAAGGGTGTTTAAGATAAAATAGCTTTCATCCAGGCTAAATGTACAATACTGAAATTGTGCTGTTATCTCATCTTAAACATTCTCCACCCCCTCTTCAGCTGTCGGTGGAGGGCTCCCACTAATGGGGCATTGTTCTAAACACAAACATTCACCACGTTCTACATACAAACATTTACTATAGTCCTAGTTTAAAAAAGTATTATAGTCAGAGGTGTAAAGAGTACCTAAAACCATACTTGAGTAAAAGTAGATACCTTACAGTGAAAATTACTCCACTACACATTACAAGTCACCAATTCCAAAACAACTTGAGTAAAAGTCTTAGAGTCTCTGATTTTTTTAACAGTACTTAAGTATTTTACTTATACTAAATATAGGCTCAAAGATGCACTAGTCAAAGAGACATGCCAGTGAAAAACTGTAACGTTGTGGAGAAGCTGCGGAAAACAGGCAGAGGCAAGGATCTATGTGCTGGTATTTCATGGGAAAACTAGAACAAACAAAAAAGGCAAAAAACAAAGGGAACAAAGAACAGAATGGCTGGCAAACAGACAACCATTACATTCAACAACTCACAAGGAACTAAAGAAAAACTAGGGCTATATATACACACAGGGGGCTAACAAGCTTAACAAGATAAGACACACCTGGGGAGACTAATCAAGGGGAACCAATGAACAAACGGACTACAAACACCACGGGAGACAGGAAGTGACATAAAAGTCCAGGGCAAGGCACATAGAGCATGAAACAAAAACAAGAAATAGTTGATTTGTGAGGAGAGCAATCACATTTATTTTCTAAAACCAAAATAAAACTGAACACCTCAAAATT